GAAGCAACCGCAATCCGATTGAGGAAACCGGTTTTGTGTGCACAAAAGAATCACGTGCAAGCCCCCAACTTGGCATGGCCAACGATTACCTAAATGGCTGCACATTTCCGCGCTCTGATTGGACCCTGCATGTAAAGAAAGACAAACTATCTATTTTTAAATTTAAACCTCCTTTGTAACTTTTTGGCCTGATGAAAAGTTACTGAAAGCGTTCGCTCGCCAAAATTGTGTTCTGAATTTCGATTAACGTTTAATGACCTAGAACATGTGCTTGGTTCGAACGAAACTGTAACACGTATGTTCGTGGAAGGTCCAAAGTACACTCGCTAAAGCATATCGGTACTTGCACAAACACCTGGAAAATATTCCTTATTAAAATATTTTAAACATATTGCCGCTATTTAATTACAATTACCTACAGATTGTCCTTTACATTCCTGCAATATTTTGATGATGTCTATGTTTTCAAGCTTTATTCTACAGTAGTTGATTCGGTTCAATGTTCATATCAAAACAACTAACATAAGATATCCATCAAAAATTTATCAAAAATAAGTTGTTGGATCTAAGTGCTTATGAAGATGGCCATGTGTGCTATATTTAAAAATTCCTAGAATCGCGAAAACACACTGTTGAGAATAGCGTACGTTTGTAGAAGTACCCCGATATTGCTATACCTAAGATTAATAAAAAAACTCTCCATAGTAGGTTACCTCTTTAAAAGCGCTTTTATTCGATATTGAGCTGACGAATATTGATGCATGTAAGGGAGATTATTGGCATATGTTTAAATTGACCTGAGGATATCTGACACATGTTGGCTGAAAGTGAAAGAACTCCCTTTGCTCTTTATAATGGCGGATTTTTCACCATAGTTGGCTATTTTTCAGGCTCCATTCGAACCTCGCGAATGCAAAAAAAGAGCGACTGAATATATACTTTAATCTTGAGGAAATTGTTAATCTTCTGTTTATTCCGTTTCCACATCACGCATAAGCGGAAATTATGGTGTACAAAAAGCATATTTTTACATGGTTTAGCTTTATCAACATTTGGTTTTACCTAAATCTTGGTAATACTATATGTGTTTTTGATTATCATCCCAAATATCTAATGCAGTCAAAACGTATTACGAAGAGGAAGACTCGATCGCTGAGACAAAAGTTTTATTCGCCTGACGTTTCGAGATCCATCACAGATTCATCGGCAGAGACATAAGCAATAGCGGATAAAACGTATTACTGCGTTTTCTGAAAAACAAGATGATTCCCTTAAAGTTGGCTTCATCTCCATTTGATCAACTGCATAATCAATTTTCCGGTTCTGAAATGGATATATTTTAAACTTTTCTTACTCATATTGGGGTTCTCCCACAGCATAACGCATCTGAATAAAAATTTCGGTTCTGCCATGTTGAATAGCATAGGAAAGTTCTTCGATATCGGAATACGTCCAAGTTCGCCATAACTAATGCCTGTTATCCTTAATAAACGGAAACAAAGGCAGTTTTCCTAACTAGAAGGCTTTCTTAGGATTAAGGCTACTCAATGGATCAAAATAACTTGACCAAATATACGTTAACCGACGGTAATGCAACAGTTTTTATTAATACAACCAAGAGAACTATAAGTAAGATGTGGAACACAGGCGTCCGAAAACGATATGTCAACCGGCTTTTGGATAAGAAAAACTTTACGTACCGCTCATATTCTCGTTGATCAGGTTTGAGCAGTAGGATCTCCATATTTGTCTTATCCGCAAGTTGTACTCCTTCTTCAAACAACCCTTCGTATTTCCGAAACCAGACCTCAACATTCAAGCCTATATCCGGGCCGTATCTGAACTCAGCATTTCGGTCCGCGGTCTGCCTTCTTTTGCTTACTGTGGATGCTGGCCCCCAAGCCCGATGCATTTCCTTGAAAAATGCCATCATGTTGTCCTGCTGTGCCTCAATAATTTGCTTTAATCGTGTTTTTCACATCTTATTGTTTGACCTGCGTCGCCAGTTGTTATGTCCCAGACTAATAGGCAGAATAAAGCAAGGAGCCGGTTCTGGTGGTAAGAGCTTTATTCGGATTTCCCACTCCAGCGTATTTATAGGTGTTCGCTACTGATGGAACAATCCTGGCCTATGGTGTGCGACCGGTGTTCCGGCCTGCACGCCGATCAATAGGTTGCCACATTGTGTGAGCCGTCGTCACCTATGTACGCTGGTCGATAAGCTCCGACGCTGTGTGAGCGGTCGTTACGTGTGTACGCTGATCGATTGTTTCCCACGCTGCGTGAGCGATCGTTGCATGTGCACGTTGATCGATAGTTCTTCGCGCTGTGTGAATGTTCATTAGCGCACACTGTTTGTCTGTGCGCATGACTCAACTCGCGTGAAGTTCTGGCCCTGAGCCCTGGGTGCACTGCCACTCATGCCCCTGTAACAAAGTCAAATTTTGATCATGACTTTGTATACATTCCTCACCGTAATTTATGTTATTAATATTGAAATGCTGATATCTTCATTCATCAGTTAATAGTTTTTTCATTACTTGAATTGGCCCTTAATCCGCTGGAATTTATCGGATCTGTCATATATGGGCTCTAGCTGATGCAAAATGGCGAAAATAGCGAAAGAGTGATAATCACTCGCCAATCAGCACTAACGCATGTACGAAAAATTGAAATACCACTGAAAAATCTTGAGCAACTTTAAAAGCTAAACGACACAGAAGAAGTACTAATAGTTTGTTAAAATAGACCAACATTTTAAAGAAACCTTAAATTCTAAAAACTTTGAAAATCGCTCCAACTTCGACTCATTGTGACTAGTTATCAGAACTGACTTCTTTCTTTGCTTCTAAAATACCAGCTTTCTGGTTCTGTAAGGGATTTATTAAAAATTTCTTGCTTATATTGGTGTTCTTTTGTAGCACAAGACATCGACATTTTTTGATATCCGGCAACCTCAAATGTCACCAGATTTCTCCCTGCTATCCTAAATGAACTACACATCCAGCTTTTTTTTACTAATAGGCGTTTTAGCATTAAATCCTTTCAACAGATGAAAAGAACAGGGTGATATGTACACTAAATTTCCAACTCCAAATTCGATCATAACTTTGCATGAACCAGGTCACTTTTTATATGTCTTCATTTATCCATTCACTACCCAATACACCTCTGCTTTACTGTGCCACAGACGCTCTCTGAAAACACACGTAAGACAAAGAATACCAAGACAAAAATGTAACTATGAGGACGTGATCCCTACAACAGGAGAGTCACAGGCCCAATGCTTCGAATTGATTGCTTAATCTCCCAATGAACCCAACAAAGAGAGGAAGAGGGAAGGGTGTGGTTACTACCAGGGAACACTAACCGCAATTACTCCTAAATAGTTTCACGAATCTGAGTTAACTACCTATGCCGGTGTTACTGGTTACTAAAATGATTGCGCACATCGGCATTGTCTCCGGAAACAGCCATCGACTGTGCTTTTACCAAGTTATTAACTGTTTCGCTCAAGCGAAATCGTGGCACCGAATAAAGCTGGTGCCCACTGGGTTCGCTGATAGATTAACAGACGGCAAATCATGCCGCTCTGATCACTCGCAAGCACGTCAAACACGTTGTCAGACGCTCCTGCAATGTGTTCGAGGCTTATTCTGAAGTTTTAGGCGAATAAAGTACTGTCACATCTCCCTCTTATCACTAGAGTACAAAGTTGTCCATTGAAAACTGAAGAGACACAGATGCGCAGAGTGATGACAACTTTGTTTTGGCTCCGACCTACTTTCCTAGCTGAAGAGAAGCTGCCCGTCTGAAGCGCGGCTATCTATTAGACTTTAAATTAGCAGGCACTGCCCATCGCACCACTGGAATCGAATGGTAAGCATCATTAAAAAACAAGAACTTAGTTATAGACTTTAATAGTCTCAGTCTGCTGTTTTGTCATGAGCTAAGCTAAACTAAACTAGCTAAACCAAAACTACTAAAACTAAATAATAAACTAAAGGCTAAAGTAAAAAAAAACATGGAGAGTAAACTAAAGCAAAACTAAGGTTAAGGTAAACTATCTAGGCCAAGATAAATTAAAGTACACTAATGTAACTGAAAACTAAAGTAGACTAAGTCTAAGGTAAAACAAGTTACGTAGTTATATATAATAAACTACGGAATCATTACCCACGGTCCTTATTCTCGCAAGGTTCGCCTCGATCCTAAAGAAGTAAACGTCTTCCTCTCATTCCAATCGACGATATTTCGTCATCAGAATAGAAAGTGCGACTTTTGACTGTTTGAAACTACTCAGTTATGTCGTCCATCTAGTCGAATTTTGGCTTTTTGTAATTCACCTGTCTGGTTCCCCTAATATACTTTATACACTTCCCCTCTTCTCCCACCAGCGACCCCTAGTACTGGGCGCGTTCTCCATAATGGTGGAACACAAGGAGGAGATCTCTCTACAGATGTTGGCTGGCCATATAACTGGGGAACTGCAGGGCTGCTGTCTTTCGGAATTCCAACAGATGCCCATCTCAGCCCCATATGTGTATGCAATCACCATCGACAGTGTTCAACGGCTTTACACTGCTCCCAACTCAAGCTTTGAGAAGCTCAGCGCTCAGACCATGAAAGGCTTCGTCAACGCTTATTTTAGCACCTACCTGCGGGAGTACCTCTATGCACCGAGCTGTTAAGGCCTCGCTGCCAAAATGGCCTTTAGTGACTTTTTATTGACTGGAACTCTTTCGAAACTGCGTATGTTGTGCTTCTGAGCACCCGGTGTTCCGAGGAGGACAACCAGGGTTTCCGCCTTGGCCCAGACAATGACACGACAGTTGCGTTTCGTTGATCTTCCGCGGGGCCACATATACATATACACTGTCGGGAATTTCATCTAGCAGACGGAAATTGACTTGCATCTGTTTTAGTTGTACAGCTAGGCAGCACATTGGAATCTTTTGTGATTCAGTCGTCTTTTGATAGTGACCCAGAGTAAGGATGGATAATTTCCTACATTAATGACGCAAGAAGTTGAATTTTTGTGGTGACGTTAGATGCCTTTAACCTTTAGTACGCCTCAAAAATTGGGATTTTATTATATTATATATTATTATAGTACATACGACCCCATGGCAGGACATAGGCACACGGATGCTTCTTTGCGTAATGCAGGTAGTCCAAACACTACAGTCAATTCTCTATCTCATGAAATGTCAACTACAATACCGAAATGTACTTTCGATCCGAACATATTATTTTAGTATGGTGGCAATAATGATTATCATAGAGGCTGATCTCAAAACATTTCAGCCATGTCAGGATGTTGACTTTTGAATGAGCTTCATGTTCACTTCTCTTGTAGATTAAAATTTATTTTATGCTTGATTGCTTGGTAGCAGCTTTGGTAGCAGCTTGCGCTTTCTTAAAATAATGTATACTTGAATGAAGCGTATGGTTTGATTTCAAAAAGTTTCTTTTTATGAGATTTTTTATGACCATAGAGTCTGCATTAAAAACAACGCATCTGACCGCTTATTAATGCTGCCCTTCAATAATAAAACTTGGTCCACATGCATTGTAAAACTTTAGGAAAACAATGTGATTTCCTCTCCACACCATAGGCAAATATGTACCTTCTATTATAGAAAGTACCCACGGCATGTATTTTGGAGAGCTTGAATGTACCTTCAATGGGTATTTTTCAACATTCTTCGGCAACTTAGCATTTTTGGTTTATTAGTTTAATTTTAATTTGAGAGTAGTTAGATACCGTCAACGTTAGACGAATATACTTAAGCAAATACTCTACACTACATTTAACTTACTTAACTCAGCTAAGCTACACAAACCTAACTAAACTAAGATTAAAACTAAAATAAACTAAAAACAGCATTCCCGTAAGACAGAATTCTAGGACCACGGGTATCTAACATGGTCAACCAAAAAACGTTTATAAAAACAGTGTGAAAGTTTTTAATACCGTGAAATATTCATTCCTAACCCATCCTATCCTGAATTACTTAGTGGTACCTACAGAGTATACAACAATATCCACATCCATAACCATATTTTATAAGCACTAGGTGTCAGCTTCCCCACATCATACAGGGATGTATGCTTTTCCTTAGAGAGAATGAACACAACCTTCCTACTTGAAAACCTTGCATGCAATTGTAACGGCCGGAAGAGTTCAAAATTATTCGGCAATTTAGAACTATTTTTTTTTCAAACTGAAAAATACCCTTCCTTCAAACATAAAATTCAAAGAAAGCGTAAGTTGCTATCAAAGGAGTATAAAAAGAACAACTTCATTAATTTTTTTATAAAGTACATTCTAAATTATAAGAGTTCTGAAAGTTAATGAGAAAAATTACGTACTAATTAAGTAGCCATTTATTTTCACAGAATCTGCTCTTTGTAGGTGGTCAGAAAGAAGCTCTTTCGAAAGCAGGAATCCTAGCGTGGCCGAAATATCTTTAGATTAGGCTGTACAATAATCATTTTTGCAACCATACTTAATTATCCTTTTAGGATGAAAGCTACATTTAAGAATTGAGAAGAAACGAGTGCGATCATTGAGACTAGAGCTTTGTACGCCTGACGTTTTTAAATCCATCGCGGATTCATCATCACAGACAACGGCAGAAACGGAAGCAAGGTTGACATTTCATGAGATAGGGCATTTACTGTACCTTTTCTGGAATTGAGAGCAAAGTCGTTGCAGGCGTGCCCTGTTCCCGTGACCCGTTCAGGGGAGTAGGGAACAGTGGCGAGGAAATATAAAAATACCATATTCCGTTATTCTATTTTATGTTACGGTTCTGAACTTTAGTTCCGAGTGGAGACCGATTCCCCTATAAGTGATAAAGAGGAAGTAGGCCAAGTGCAAACCTATCATAGGAAAACTAAATATGTAAGGAGGATCGTGCGAAATGTTAATGGAATGGAAGAATACGCAAAAAGGACCCAGAGCCCATTCAGCTCCTATGAATCCACACTTGAAAATTTCGTAAGAGCAGCTAGTGTTAAGTGAGAGGAAAGAAGCATGATCACCTTTCAGTCAGGGCTGCAGTTACACAGGGATTATTTGGTTCTCTGACTTCACTAGTTAACCTTAGTCTTATTGGGATCTATGATACTTCTGAAACCACGAACTGAGCGCATAGCTGCGTGCACTGACGTCAAAATTGCCCGAAAACATGGAATTACGCTTTGAGGGAAAGTAGACGCGATCGCTGAGGCAAGAAATCTGTTCAACCGGTGTTTCGGACTACCGTTTAACCCCCTATCTGATGCTGTCTCCGAGAGTGAATCCAAATCATCAGGCAAGTGGAACTCTTGTTCCAGCGATTGCGTCTAATTCTTCTGAAGCACCTTTCCTGGGCACGAATTCTCGTTTTTTTCTACAGCCAGAAACAGGCCGCCGCCTGCTTTTCAACTTTCCAAGAGGTGTGCACAAAGTCCCTCGTATGTGAGACATCCAGTGCTTACCAGTGGTAAGATTATGTATCCGCAGACGGCAAGCACTGTTCCAACATTCACATAGACCATTCCGAGTTTTACATTGCCTATATTTCATACAATATGGGAGTTATTTTGGGTGGCGCCTAAGATCCACCAGCATTACTTATGACGGCGCTCTATAATAATTTTTCAGGAAGGGAGGGGGGAGGTGGTTGACTTGCGTCACACTGGATTGAGTGTGTTATTGCCATGAGGAACAGTTGTCCAGAGAATGTTAACCGGGTTTTTCAGGCAAGCTTGAGTGTTTCACAGTTTCCAGACTTTTGGATATAGTTAGCAGAGTCTGATGACGGCCTACACAAGAAAAAAAAAATATATATATGGTGGCATAGACGCGTACAACGATCTGTCAGAGGGCCCACTCGTCCTCCCATATTGCCATTAGAG